TTTGTACAAGTTTCCCTTCTCTACTCTATTTGATTTTTGCTTTGTAGCTGTAGAAGGAAAAACAATATTTTGAAACTCCCATTCATATCTTTCGGACTGTATTGAGCCAACAAATAAAATTTTAAGGCCAATGCCCTCAGCCTCCGTATCTGGCCTTTTCTATGGTCCAAACGCATTCAAACACCCCCAAACTTTATTCTTCTCTTAAATTTCACCCTCAAAAATTATTACTTACAACTTGCACCCCAAACCTTACTTGACCAGTAACTCACTTATGATTTGACACTCGCGGTGAGCATTGGGTTATGTCGCAAATACCATAGAATTGCTGTGGCATTGATCTAGTGGACTATACATAAAATTGCTGATATTGCAAAATGAGCAATACATTAATTATTTTTAAGAAAAATGATTAAGTGATAATTATTTGTATAAATTTATTTTTTAAATTTATATATTATTTAATAATAAATTCTTTTAATAATTTTTGTAAGACACTCATGATATCACATAACAAGATCTGTTAAATGTAACCTTATTTGAGAACTTGGTATATTTGGTGTTCGCATTTCTTTATTGTGATCCATTGGTAGCATCTGCAGCCCAAAGGATTGTCAGTGGATTACATTCTAACTAGTGGTTGAATTTTATCAAGAGTAAGGTACTAACCTAACTTCTAACTTTTAACTCTAACCATTACCCTGGTCAAAAAAAAAAAAAAAGTATACTCTGTGTTCTTATTTTGAAAAACATTAGAGTTGATAACCTTTATTAGAAATTGGATGAAAATTGATGATCTTATTTTACACTGTTGCCAAAAATACAACTTGTCACCATTTCTATTTTCTGGAGTCGAGTCGAGCTGATGTTACATAGTAGAGGGGTCAATTCTTAATTTAGGGTTTTCAATTTGCACAGCCCGTCAAGCTCTCTTCAGCTCCAATTAACCTCAGTTAGGGTTTATCTGTATTTAACTATTACATCGATCGGAGCCGCTCCGATCGGCAAGTTTCTTTCTTTTTTTGTATGTAAAAATTGGAGTAAAACCGAAGATTAATATGAAATCCATGGAGGTCAGCGTCTTCTGGATTTGTTTGCTTCTGCTTACTTGCTCAAATTTCATTCGGGCCGAGGACTCCACAACTAACAAGTTCCGAGAGCGACGGGCGACCGACGACGAACTTGGTTTTCTGGAAATGTAACTCCTTTCTGGCTCTGATCTTGATTTCGGATTTCTGATTTCTGATTTGTGTTTTATTAAACTGATCTTATGGTATTGACTCAATTTGTAAAATTTCGCACGAGGTTCAATTGCAGAAGCATTGCATTTGATGTTCTTGAATTCTTGTTTGTGGATGTGTAGAGATGAGGATGCATTGTTGAACACACGGTGTCCTCGAAATTTGGAGTTGAGATGGCAAACTGAAGTTAGCTCTAGCATATATGCAACTCCATTGATAGCAGATATCAATAGGTATGATTCTTCTGATGTTAAAGTTCAGATGTGAATAGTGGGAGTTGACTATATGTCAGCTCAGGTCTTCTGACTTCTCTATTTTTGCTTTGTTCTTTGGTTCTGTTTTCGTTAAGTATACTTTATATAGCTAAGCTAAGCGGAATTCTTTTTTTTTTTTTTTGCAGTGATGGAAAGCTTGATGTGGTAGTTCCCTCATTTGTTCACTATCTTGAAGTTCTAGAGGGTTCTGATGGAGACAAAATGCCAGGTATTGATCTTCCAAATTTGAAGAGCATGCAAGTTGTTTTCAATCGTTGAGCTCTACAGTTATATTGTGTTGTTTTTGAATTATTTATCAGGCTGGCCAGCTTTTCACCAATCAACTGTGCATTCTAGTCCTCTTTTGTATGATATTGATAAAGATGGTGTGAGAGAGATTGCCCTAGCTACATACAATGGCGAAGTGCGCTTTTTCAGGTTATTTTAATTTTAATTCTTTCAAGTAGTTACATGTTCGTGATATGGAAATATTTCCTTGCTAATGTGACTCAAATGCATTGCTTTTAGGGTGTCAGGCTATATGATGATGGAAAAATTGGAAGTCCCTCGCAGGAAAGTTCGTAAAGATTGGTATGCAGGCTTGCATTCTGATCAGGTGGACCGTTCTCATCCAGATGTTCATGATGATTTGTTGGTCCAGGAGTTGGCGGAAAGGAATTCAGTTGCCCGTAAGAAAATTTTGATTTGCAAACTTCTTTTACGTATTTTCTTGATCTTCTTGTTTTCTTCGTCTTTTATTTACAGATTAAACTAGTTTGAACCAACAGCCTGTTGGTTTGAGTGGAAGGAGCTCGTTTCTCCTTAAGCAAGGTCTTGAGTTTGAGTCTTGTGAATAAAAAAACAGGCATTGGGGGGAGAGCTTTCCCCTAATGGGGTCCAACGTGGTTCAATTCCGGATTAGTCGGGGCCCAATGTGGTGTCTTGATACCGGGGGGTTAGTACCAAAAAAAAAAAAAGAAAAAAAAAAAGATTAAACTAGTGTCTGGGAAAACTAAAATCACTTTGAGTTTTCATCTTTTTTGTTCTTAATGTCCTCATTGTCTTAGTCACATCATTTTTAGGTCTCCTCTGTTTGTGACACATAATGAACTGGAGAACTCTTAGCTAACAGGTATTATTTATTAAACCAGCAGTCCAGCACCAAACATGTACATGATGTTTCTGATAGATTACATGAGTCATGTTTGGGGGAAAATATCCCTTGTTACGCTGTATTAAGTTGCACATTTTTTTCCTATTATTGGTGCACATTTTTGGCTTTGTTCAAATTATATATGCTATATATGTTTTCCAAATTTTGTGAGAAAAGCTCTGAAGAACTAGGTTTTATATTTACCTAAGTGATCATAATCTTTTCTCTTGAACTAAAAAGAGCAGTAAATTCTGTTTCTGTGCAGAAACAAATGGAAGTACACCTGAATCTAACAATACAGCATCTACATCAACAGAAAGACAGCCATATCCGGCAAATGCAACCAGTGTAGATGCTGGAAGGAAAATGAATGAAAGTCAAACAGAGGAAAACATCAAATTGCCTTCTAGTCCTGATAATTCTTCTGTAAATGGTGGGCCAGTGGGAATGAATAATACAGAGAATAGAACAAGAACTAGTCCTGATAATTCTTCTGTAAATGCTGGGTCAGTGGGAATGAATAATACAGAGAATAGAACAAGTTCTGGGAGACGGCTTCTGGAAGATGATGACTCAAAAGGGTCACAGGAAGGTGGTTCTGAGTCTAAAAATAACAATGATGGTTTTCAGACTGTGGAAAATGATGAAGGTTTAGAAGCAGATGCAGATGCATCATTCGAGTTACTCCGTGATACTGAAGAGTTAGCTGATGAATATAGTTATGACTATGATGATTATGTTGATGAATCCATGTGGGGAGATGAAGAGTGGACTGAAGAGCAACATGAGAAGCTGGAAGATTATGTGGATATTGATTCACACATCTTATGTACTCCTGTGAGTATAAATTCTACTTATGATAGTACTGTTCTTTTCTTATTGTTAAACTAACTACCTGCACAGGTGAGTTGATACAATGAAAGTCGTAAAAAAAAATGTTTCTCAAACTTTCACAGGTCATTGCTGACATCGACAATGATGGGGTATCAGAAATGATTGTTGCTGTTTCCTACTTCTTTGATCATGAGTAAGTTGCTCTTAGTTTTCATCTGATTTTGTGCTTCCTTTCTCCATTGTTGATTTCTTTTTTTAAAGATCATGATATGGTTTATGCAAATGCATTTTTTTTTTTTTAATCATCTTCTAAGAAGTTTTTAAATAAATAAGAATTGATGTTTTCCAAATAAATGATCTGAAAAAGGGAACTTTATATCATAGGTATTATGACAACCCAGAGCACAGTAAGGAGCTTGGTGGTATTGATATCAGAAAATATGTTGCTGGTGGTATTGTTGTTTTCAATCTTGACACAAAACAGGTTAAATGGACTACACCACTAAATGTCAGTACAGACAGCGAAAACTTTCATGCATATATATACTCTTCTCCTACTGTTGTTGATTTGGATGGCGATGGGAACTTGGACATTCTTGTTGGAACTTCATTTGGCTTGTTCTACGTCTTGGATCATCATGGTAGTTTCCTAAGACTGCTATATCACTCTTTTTTATCATTATCATTATTTCTTCCCATGCTGCCATGCTCCATGATGATATCACACTAAGGTTATTGCATATGTTAGTTCTGCATTTTGTAGTTGCTTTACATAAAATCATGACGTCATCTAGCTGGTTAAGGGTTTCTTTGAGTTTCAAAAATGGTAGTAATACTTGCGGGTGCAAATGTGGCTTTGACCATATCTTGATCTGTCATTTCTTCAAGATTTTCTTTTCTTTTAGTTCAGCCCCAATCCTTCATTTAGCATCCCTATCTAAAGATAATTTACAAAACCTTATACAGTGTGGACTGATACTATTAAAACATTGGCTTGTAAACAATTGAGTTGACATATGCTAGTCCATCTATACATCTGAAGTTTCAAGCTAAACCAATCCTTGGCCAAAAAAGTGTTAAGGCCAATCTTTTTCTCTCTCTTTTTTGCCTTTTTTTTTTTAAGAAAAAAATGAAAAAGATGGGTGATATATGTACAATGACATGTAAATTTTTATGTTTGTAACAAATTCCATTGGGAGCCTCTATTCTGTATAAAGATCTTTGGTCATTGTTTTTGCTCTTAGAACTGATATTGAATTATGAGCAGCATCTTTCTAATAATTTGGCTGGTAATGGTTTATTTTACCAGGAAACATCAGAGAAAAGTTTCCTCTTCAAATGGCTGAAATTCAAGGTGCTGTAGTAGCAGCTGATATAAATGATGATGGCAAGATTGAACTAGTGACAACAGATTCACACGGAAATGTTGCTGCTTGGACTGCAGGAGGAGTTGAGATTTGGGAAAATCATCTGAAGAGTCTTGTTCCACAGGTGGGTTGTAATGCCTATTTTCATAATGTTGACAAATGCGTGAACTATATGATAATTTTAAGGAAACCATTAGTGACAAAAAAAAAAATCGTGGGTGTTTTATTAACTTCAGCGAAGGAGGTTGTGCCTTTTTATTTCTAGGCATTTGTTGATGTGAATTAACTTCCAGTAGTGGGAGTAGTTGGACCTAACTAATTCTATAATTGCCTGACATGAGACGTGTTGACAGTGCATGTTATTCTTCCCACGTGAGCATGCGTATAAGGAATTATGCTAATTTTACCTGTGTGGATAATGTATATGGATTCAGCATATACTGAGATTAAAAATCCAACAAAACAACATAGTTTGTAGTCAGTTAGTGGAAGACTTGTGCTTCCATCATATTTCTTCTGTTTATACTAATGCATCAAGGACTAAATTCATTGTGATATGCCTGAATGCTTGTCAGCCATTACTCCACATCTCTTACTCTGGCCATAGATCTCTATGATTGGTGGGCTGCATAGGACTAAAGAGATTTTGCAAAGTCAACATGCACTTAACATGTCACCCTTTGAAATTGATACAAGAAATCTGATTGACATTGTCTTACCCCTCAGGGTCCTTCCGTGGGTGATGTTGATGGAGACGGCCATACTGATCTTGTGATTCCCACTGTATCAGGAAATATTTATGTTCTCAGTGGAAAGGATGGTTCAATAGTCCGTCCTTATCCTTACAGAACTCATGGGAGAGTGATGAATCAAGTTCTTCTAGTTGATTTAAGCAAACGTGGGGAGAAAAGCAAGGGACTGACTATTGTTACTACATCTTTTGATGGATATTTGTACCTGATAGATGGACCCACATCGTGTGCTGATGTTGTTGACATTGGTGAAACTTCGTAAGTTGTTTTTTGCTTTATGGTCTTATCCTTCCTTTGACTCATTTTATGTTTCCCTACTGAATCTAATCTGTGTGTACTTCCTCATTGCAGATACAGTGCAGTCTTGGCAGACAATGTTGATGGTGGAGATGATCTTGATCTTATTGTTACAACTATGAATGGAAATGTCTTTTGCTTCTCTACTCCTGCTCCACACCATCCGCTTAAGGTGGGATAAATATTAATGCAGTCCACAATTGATCATTTGTGTGTTTCCCCTGAATTTTAAGCCCCATTAATGTGCAATTCATTTTCAGGCATGGAGATCAACAAATCAAGGAAGAAACAATGCTGCATACAGATACAACCGTGAGGGCATTTATGTTACCCATTCATCAAGGGCTTTCCGTGATGAGGAAGGCAAAAGCTTCTGGGTGGAGATTGAGATTGTAGATAAACATCGATACCCATCAGGGAATCAAGGGCCCTATAATGTCACCGTAAGCTACACTTCTTAAATTACAGTTCCAAACTGCCATTGCAACATCTGGTCTCCCTAAAATTTGATATACTGAAACAATGCAGACAACCTTGTTAGTCCCGGGTAACTACCAAGGAGAAAGGAGGATAAGGCAAAACCAGATTTTCAACATTCCTGGAAGATATCGCATAAAACTTCCAACTGTTGGGGTAAGGACTACAGGGACCATTGTGGTGGAGATGGTTGACAAGAATGGACTCTATTTCTCAGATGATTTCTCCCTCACATTCCATATGCATTATTACAAACTTCTGAAGTGGCTTCTTGTCCTACCAATGCTGGGAATGTTTGGCGTGCTTGTCATCCTTCGTCCACAGGAGGCCATGCCTTTGCCATCATTCTCACGGAATACTGACTTGTAACTGCCGTCCTCTATTAGACCACAACACTTTCGAAGGTTACCAAAGCATGCCTAGAACCAAAAGGTCAGTTATATTGGCAACTTTAGATATTGAATCCTTCAAATTTAGATAGCCAAACACAAATGATTACCAGTTGCTTAGAAGGCAGTATGCTTAAACTGAAATTTAAATTTTGGACTTTAGAGGAAATATGGAAGTTGTAACATAGTTGAATTTGAGTTTATTGTTAGCTAAGCGAGGAAATTGATAATTATCCACACTCATTACTGAATGTGAAGTCTCCTCTCTTATCCATGTGTTGTTAATACCAAGTTTTGCAATCAGTTGCTCCCGAGTCCTGCCTTCGTGCCATAGCCCGAGCTTGAGCTACTTCCTAGTGGTGCTGCTGTGGCATTAAGTTGAGTCTAACTAGTCCAAATGGTATCTGCAGCTTTTAACTGTGTGCCGTGTTTGGTTTTGCAAGTTTAGCATTAGAAAATACTGCACTTAAGGTGAAATGAGAAAAATGCTATTTACCATCAAAAGGCCACTCTTGCTTTGCCCCATGTACATTGGGAAACAAGGGGACTTGGTATCAAAAATGCTTGTTACAGCTGCAACATGGCATCCTTACCCGATCAAAGGCATTGTATTTTCTCATTTCCAACATGAGGTGCGAGGAGAAGTTTGCACATGGATGCATGTGCCCAAACATTAGATTCCACAAGACACCCCATGATGATTAAAAAATATGTATATTCCCCAACTCAAGCCGGCTGTTTACATTGAACAAGCTACCAACCCAAATTCAATATAAGGGAGATGTTTCTGCTTCATCATCGATACTAGCGGAACAACCATCTGTGAAATATTCAAATTTCTTGAAATGATGACTGCAGGCTCAACGAAATTTTCATATGCTCAAGACAAATAAAAAATTAAAAAAAGAAAAAAGGGGTGTCCCATTGCATCCTATGAAAAAGACGGATTATATTTACTTTCCCCGTTTATTGTTCACTCAAAAGGATTTGATTTACAGAATGCAGGCAAATAGAACCATGTTTCCCAATTCTACCAGGAATGCAGATTTATCCATACACTTCACTTGAATCACATTTCTAAGAGTTCATGTTTCTATACATACAGCCAACTATAAGCTTGCCATATACGTGACTGAATAAACCACTTAAATCACAATGAATATGAACGTAGAAGTAATCAATCGTATCCTTCAGATACTGCAGTTGAGTTGTCATTATAGACATGGAAGAACAGCAAAAATGTCCCGCACGACAGAATAACTAAGACAATGTTTGCTTTCTTGAATTAAATTGAACTGTCATTAACCTTTTTTTTTTTCTCCTGCAAGCATTATTTCAGCATTGGCATAACAAAACAGTAAGCTGTGCAAGAAGTTCAAAGCTAAGATTTAGATCTAATGTCATCTGCCAAAGCAGGCAAACTGCTCTTCCATCTAAACATTCATTTGTTCATTGCCCTTCTTTACCTCACCCAACTATCTAAAGATCAATATTGAATTCTCACCCAATAAAGGTTTCAAGCAAATATCCAAGAATACCTTCTGGATCCTGTTAAATTTATATGAGCAAACAAAAGAATTTGACTATGTATTCGCATCAAGCCATCAAACTCAATCATTATAAGTGTTTTTACTCAATTATTATTCATGTCAAATGTAAACAAAAGGTATACTTAAACATGATCAAAAGCATTATGAACTTAAACAGAACTAGAGTATATGTCTGAAACCTTACATGAGCATTTAAAAGCCCTGCAAAGCAGGCCTCTTTCCAAGCCTCTTGATCTCCCTATCCATTTTCCCAGTAAGCATTAATCCGAACATCTTCCAATCACATAAAAGGGACCAAAATGGATGCCCAAAGGTCGCCGGAACATTCCCTTCAACGAAGAAATGGCTATACCAGGCAAGTCCATAACCAACAACCGGCACAAACAGCACAACCCACCAATTAAACATCAGAGAGTACATCAATAGTAACATACTTGCCAGTGTTCCAGCGAAATGCCAACGCCTTGTGGAAGGTTTCGAGTGCTGGGTCATATAGAACGCCCAGAAATCATCCATGCTCCTGAAATTCATATCTACAAGACAAACCAAGTGAAACCCAGTTGAGAAATAGGATCAGAACCTTGATTCCTCTGTATTCTTCAAAACCAATCGGGATTAAGCAAAAAATCTCATTTGGGTATTGTTTGACTTGGGAATCAGATAGTGGGTATTGCAAGAAATCACCTGAGAAAAGAAAAAAAAAAAAAAAAACTAATCAAATAATTTTACAAGAATTTGACCGCGAGAAAATTATGAGGGTTGGTTTGGAAGAGATGAACTGTAGCTTTTTATTTAGCTGAAGAATCAAAGTAGGTCTGGACTTTGGAGACTCCTCCCGATAACAATTATACCTGTTATTCGAGATGTGTGATGGAGATAATTTTCACCTAAGTTTCAGAGTAATTTTAGGATTAATTTATTTGGGGAAAATGATCTGCTTGATTAATTCTTTTTTTTTTTATATATATATTGTTTGTTGAGATGGAATGATTTATACATCAGAAAGCTGAGAGCTGACTAAGTTTTGATTGGTGTTGACGGAACACAGCAGTAATGTGGCAATCTGTCATTGGTGCTGTCACGTAGATTAATTTAACATTTGTTTGGAATTTTTCTAAAATCTTTTTAAAAAAGTCTAAAACTTTTTTTTGTTATAATCATAATTGATATATTATATTTAATAATTATCAATTATTATTTAAAATTAAAAATATTTAATTTATTTAATTGAATTTAATAGCGGATAACTGTTAACCAAATTTTAATTCAGATGCCCCTTATATATTGTAGTCTTTAAATAAAAGAATCTATATAAAATAAAATAAAAATTTGTATATTGTATTTTAAATAAAATTGATGACTTCCTATGGGTTATGTGGTTGAGCACTCGAACTTGCAGCCCTAAACTTCAATTCTCCACTCTCAAATGTCATAAGAATGAAGCCAATTATATTATCAAATCTAGAAGGGAGATCAAATGAACAATAATCAAATAAAAATTATATAAATTAAGTTGTTCAAAGTTACAAGTTCATGCACACGACCTAAGTAATTTGTTCTTTAAATGGAGTAAAAAATTTTACATTTCAATTGTAGGCATAGAGGTGAAATAAGTAGTAGAAAAAAAAAAAAAGAGTTATTGTTTACTCTCTCCATCTTAACATTAATAATTGTCATTATTTGAATTTTTTTAAATTAAAAATTTGGAGATAATAATTATATTT